GACCACACTACCAAAAGTAGTATACAGATTTAATGCAATCCCAATCAAAATCCCACTGGCAATCCTCATAGAAATAGAAAAAGCAATCACGAAATTCATATGGAAAAATAAGAGACCCAGAATAGCCAAAGCAATCCTTAGCAAGAAGAGTGAAGCAGGAGGCATTACTATACCAGATCTTAAACTATACTACAGAGCAACAGTAACAAAAACAGCATGGTACTGGCACCAAAATAGACCTGTAGACAACGGTATAGAATAGAAGACACAGAGACAAACCCACATAATTATAGTTATCTTATATTAGACAAAGGCACCAAAAACATGCATTGGAAAAAAGATAGCCTCTTCAACAAATGCTGCTAGGAAAACTGGAAATCCATATACAACAAAATGAAATTACACCCCTATGTCTCACCATGCACAAAACTCAACACGAGGTAGATCAAGAATCTAGAAATTAAACCATAGACCCTGCACCTAACAGAAGAAAAAGTAGGCCCAAATCTCCATCGTGTTGGATTAGGCCCCGTCTTTCTTAATAAGACTCCTATAGTGCAAGAAATAAAATCAAGAATCAATAAATGGGATGGAGTCAAACTAAAAAGGTTCTTCACAGCAAAAGAAACAATCAACGAGGTGAACAGAAAGCCTACAGAACGATAACAAATTTTTACCACACACACATCAGATACACATCTAGGATATATAAAGAACTCCAAAATCTTAACACCAAAAAAACAAATAACCCAATCAATAAATGGGCCAAGGAACTGAACAGACACTTCTCAGAAGGGGAGATACAATTAATCAACAAATATATGAAAAAATGTTCAACATCTCTAGCAATTAGAGAGATATAAGTCAAAACTACTCTAAGATTTCAACCAGTCAGAATGGCAGCTCTTAAGAATACAAACAACAAGTGTTGGTGAAGATGTGAGGAAAAAGTCACACTCATACACTGCTGATGGAACTGCAAATTGGTGCAGCTGACAGGGAAAGCAGTATGGAAATTCCTTGGAAAACTAGGAATGGAACCACAAGTTGTCCCAGCAATCCCACTCTTCAGTTTATACCCAAAGATCTTAAAAACAGCAAACTACAGGGACACAGCCACATCAATGTTGATAGCAGCACAATTCACAACAGCTAAACTGTGGAACCAATTTAGATGCATTTCACTAGATAAATGGATAAAGAAAATGTGGTATATACACACAGTGGAATATTATTCAGTATTAAAAGAGAATAAAATCATGGAATTTGCAGGTAAATGAATGGAGTTGGAGAATATAATGCTAAGGGAGGTAAACCTATCCCAAAAAACCAAATGCCAAATGTTTTCTTTGATATGAGGATGCTGATCCATAATGGGGGTGGGGGGAATGGGAGGAATGGAGGAACTTTAGATAGGGCAAAGGGGAGTGAGGGGAAAGAAGTAGCCTTAGGGGTAGGAAAGATGGTGAAATGAGATAGACATCATTACCCTAAGTACATGTATGAAAAAACAAATGGTGTGACTCTACTTTATGTACAACCAGAGACATAAAAAATTGCACTCTATGTGTGTACTATGAATTGAAATGATTTTTGCTATCATATATAACCAATTAAAATAAATAAAAATAAATTTAAATTAAAAAAAGACGATTTCAGAAAGTAAGAAGAGATATGAAGACAATAAAACAGTGGGATGAAGTGTGGTATAAGAAGCCAGACTTTAAGATGGGTGCAGTATCACACACTTGTAATCCCAGTGGCTCGGGAGCCTAAGGCAGGAGGATCACAAGTTCAAAGCCAGCCTCAGCAACGGTGAGGCACTAAGCAACTCAGTGAGATCCTGTCTCTAAATAAAACACAAAATAGGGCTTGGTATTGGCTCAGTGATCAAGTGCCCCTGAGTTCAATTCCTGGTACCCTCCACCCCGCCAAAAGAAGCCAGACTTTAGACAGAGAGGTCAGAGAAAGATGTTAAGAAGTATAGCACCATGAGAAAGAGGCCAGCTATAAGAAAATCATAGACAGCTACAGGCAGAAGATGCAGGTGTAAGAACCTCGAGGCAGGAGACAGTGGGGCAGTTCCAGGAATGAACCCTGCCACATGTCCTGCATGTACCCCTAAAGCCAAGGGCTGAGGTGGGTCAGGGCTGTGATTTCGATAGGCCCTCCTCTGGCGCACCACTGACTATTCTCCATACCAAAAAGCTCTTCCTCTTCACCAGTCCCTTTTTCCTGTATGCTAAAATGCTTGAGACATAAGCAGACTAAAAACACATTTTCTTTAACTCCTGCTCTTTGGAACTGTAACTTCCTGTTTTTGCGGTTACTGTTGTTTGTGGTGCTGGGGATCAAACCCAGGGCCTCATGCATGCTAGGCAAGTGCTCAATCTCTGAGGTACATCCCAGCCAAACTTCCTAATTTTAAAATCAAATTTTCACAAACAATGGAGCGTTCACTGGTCTGCACTTCCTCACTCTCCTTTTGTGACCATGTTCTGCCTACGCTATCATTTTCAGTGCCCTGTCCAAGATCATCAATGACTTCTCAGTTTCAAGTCCAGTGACCTTTTCTCAACCCTCATCCTTCCTGACTTTCTGTCACATTCTTGACAATCCTCCTTTTCAAATATTCCTTTCCCCTATTTCCATGAAAATATATACTTCTCATATTTCTTTCACCTTGATCACCCTTCTGACTGTTTCTTCCCTAAGTTCTCAAATGCAGTTGTTCCCTTAAATTCTTCCATTACAAATGTTCCAATTTTCTTCTTCTTTCCCTCTATTTTCTTCTACCCCCTTCTTTCTTTCTTTAATACTCTCATTACTCCCAAGGCCTCAGCTCACACCCTCTCTATGAGTGAACCCTACAGCTGCTTCCCCCCACCCTCCTGCCTTTTCTTAGGATACACAGAAATGTTCTCTCAGCAGCAAGTGAATGTCACAGCTCTGTGTAGGGTGGCACTTCAAACTGAACCTATTCCTAACTACAGTCATCTTTTCTATCCAAACCAGAAACTTCTCCTGTTTTCAACTAATTAAGAGTTGAAGTTGTACTTGAGTCTAATCAATGCCATCTCCGGGGTGATTCTCCATTCAATTGCCAGAGACACCCCCAAATCTCACATAGCTCTAGCTCCCTCAGGGCCTTTCACCTGGATAGCTCAGTCCCAGTCAACCCTTCTACTTCTGTGATACCTGGCCTCACAGAATCATTTCCTAATTATCACCTGAATCTTGACACTTCATCTCAGACAATCTCAGTAGCTTCTCACTGTTCACCCTAGGCAGTTGAAGCCTTATCGCCAGCTGGGCACACTGGTGCATGTCTGTAATTCCAGTGGCTCAGAAGGCTGAGGCAGGAGGATTGCAAGTTCAAAGCCAGACTCAGAAACTTAGTGAGGCCCTAAGCAACTCAGCAAGCCCTGTCTCTAAATGAAATATAAAAAGGGCTGGGATATGGCTCAGTGGTTAAGCACCACTGGATTTAATACCCAGAACCAAAAAAAAAAAAAAAAAAAACCAAGAGAAAAAAACCCCACAACCAACTTGTCACCATTTTGGGAACTTCCAGTGATCCTTAAACTATCTTTTAGCCTGACCACCCCACTTGGCTTGGCCAGCCTGTAAGCCATACAAATAGTTTTATTCGTTCTTGCTTTGTATTTATTTCCTTTGACCTGAAATGCCTTCTTCTATGTCTATTTGTCTAAATCCTACATATCACTATGTCTAGTTCAAATGACATCTACTTCAATTAATTTCCCCTGATTTCCATAACAGAAAATTATTTTCCCCAGTTTCACTTCTACTTGCATTATAGTTATCTGCATGTGTCTCTCTCTGTGGTCACTACCATTTTATAACACAGTTGGCGAAATCCCTTTCAAGTGTGAGTTGGATCACATCAATTTTTCTGCTCAAAATCCACCAAGCTTCCTCCACTTGCAGTCAAAACAAAGCCTTTCCCATGGCCCATGTCTGACCTGGCCTGGGTCCTGAGATCTTCCTTGGCCTCATCTCCCTTCTCTGAGGTCCTCATTCCCAGTCATACCAGCACCCTAGCTGTTCTCCAAGAAGCCAAGCTCACTCTTCCCTCCTTAGCTCCACTTTTCTATTTATTTCTGGGTTCTGATCTGTGCTGCCAAAGGGCAGACTGCTGAAATCTGACTTTCAGTTGAATTAAGACACTGTAGAGCAAACACCTCAGGAACGCAGTCGGGGAGCAATAGTGAGAATGGAGAACTGTACTCTCTGAGGGTTTGACATTATTTGAAGACAAAGAAGAGGTAGAGAAACTGAATAGAATAAGCTGATTCTTAAATTATTTTTTTCAAGTTTCCTAAGATACAGATGCAAATTGTCCAAGGGGCAATTTATAGTTGTATGATTATTAACAATTTACATTTGAGTACCTGGTTAAAATATTTATGTTTTCAGAACATCAAAAGTAAGGACATTTGAGGTTATAGCTTAAATATCAGTCAATCCAAAATACATAAACACTATATAGACATTATTTCACTAACATATAATTCTAAAGAAGCTTTTCTTATTTTTTACTAAAGAATCAACTTGGAAATCATGTTATCATTTGTGTTATAAAAAACTATAAAGTCCAGAAATAATTATCAGACATCTGAGAAAATTTGAAACAGTCTAATCTAGGAAAATTCATTGTTACAGCCCAGGAATCCCTAATCAGCATAATACTTGACAACATTATAATACTGCTGCATTGCACCACATATTCACTTACTAATGAATGTTCTGTATAATCCCTTCCACAAAATTCATGGATAAAGTTAGGAAATTACCTAGATTATTTTAGCTGTGTTTAGAAAAGAAACTGAAACTGCTCCTTAAAGCACTTAAACTGTTTATAAATTTGAAGAGTAAGTCCATGTCTATTACTTTTTAGAGATTAACCATGAGAGTGATGTGAGTGGGTTTAAAGATGGCTTCACCTGTATATTAAAAATTCCAGTGAGGTGTCTCACCTTCTCCAGTGTCATCTCTGTCTCAGCAGCGTGAGTCTTCTTCAGCTCTATCTTCATCTTTTCTGATTCAGCCTTCAGCTTACTGACAACAGTCTCATGGTCCCTCGCAGCCCTTTGCTTTTCCTCCTCACGAAGAAGACCAAGTTCTACCAGCTGCTGTTTACGCTGTGAGTTTACACTGATCAGCTCTTCTCTCAGCTTGTGAACTTGGGCCTCCATGTCCGAAACAACCTTGATTTTAAAAACAGAAAAGAGTCAGGGGATATGAATAGGAAAGTGACAACAGGCCAATTACAAAGTATAAAACACAAAGTATTAAAAAGTTCACCTTTTCTTTTCTTCCTTCCTGCCTACTTCCCTTCCCTTCCCCCATTATTGTATTCTCTCATCCCATGCCATCAACTCCAGCTCAGAGGTAAATACCTCTTGGAACGTTTTACCATAGACTTGTATCCTGAAACAGCATAATGTGTAGTTTTGTTTCTAATATGTATGAAATGAATGTTACTTGTATTTTTCTGATTTGCATTTCAGATATTCAGTATCATGTTCCTAAAATTTATCCAACATTATCTATTGCATTTTTGTTTTTTATTTCATTATCTGCCTTTGTTTTTTACATTCTTCCTCCTATTTTGCTTGGGTTTATTTTGTATTCCTTCTTTTAAATTCTTATTTAGAATATTTATTTCGGTACCTCAGTGAGTACATCCCCAATCCTTTTTATTTTTTGAGACTAGGCTGGTCTGGAGCTTGTGATCCTCTTACTTCAGCCTCCTGAGTCTTTGGGATTACGAGCACGTGCCACAGCATGGCATCATCATTTACTTTTAGCCTTTCTTTTCTAAGACTCTAAATGTCTCTCTTTATATTGCTTTAGGACCATCTCTTAGGTTTAGATATATGGCATTTTCATTATCATTTAGTTCAAAACATTTTTTAATTCTCTTTTTATCCTTTGACTGATGTGTCATTTGGCAGCATCTTTCTTAATACCTAAGCATACGGAATATATTCATCTCATTGGGCTGCCATAACAAAGAGCCACAAGCTGGGTATATTATAAGAGGAGAAACTTACTCTCTTGCAATTCTGCAGGTGGAAATCTAAACACTGAGGTTTTGGAAGAGTTACTCCTGGGGAGGGTCTGAAGCAGAACCTGCTCCAGTCTTTTCTTGGTAGCTTCTGGTATTTGCTGGCAGTCTTGGGTTCCTTGGTTTGTAGACACATCATTCCAGTTTCTGCCTCTACCTTCACATGATCTGTTCTCTCTGGAGATTTATTTCCTTCCTTTTAGTCTTACTTGGTTTAGGGTCAAGGAACGTAGTATATCTTGCATTAATTTTTTGAAAATTGTTGAGATTATTTGATGGCAAGCCACAGAATCAATTTTTTAAAAGCTTCATGTGTTATTTCTAGCAAATGTGTATTCTATCGTTTCTGCAGTTGAGTACTATGTTCTACACATGTCCATTGCATCAAACTTCTGTAACTACTGATTTTTTTTCCACATAATGCACTTTAAAGTGTGCATTAAAATCTCCTAAAATCAGATGAATGTTGATTTCCCCCCAATTTTTCATTTCCCTGGTAGATTTGTCTATTTCTCTTTATATCGCCCGAAGTTTCCTTTATATTATTTGAGGTCATAAAATCCATAGAAATGCTATATCTACTCACTGATTGGATTTTTGTTACCAAATGATTCTCAATTTCTTTTTCTCCAGTACTGATGGTACCTTAAGTCAGTTCTGTCTGTGATAAACAGATTTGAATACTAGCTTTTTTTCCGGGAAGAGTATTTGCTTGGTATTTTTTTTTTTTATCCAATCTTTTCCTCTAAACCTTCTTGCATCCTTAATTTTTAGAGAAAGATATAACAGCATACAGATTTTGAATTTTCTTTTTGAAATGAAAATAATATTTGTCTTTTAAATGGGCATTTAGTCCAATTAGTTTGTATATATTGCATATTTTCCTTTCTTTTTCCTCTTTTTTTTGGGTGTCATTTGCTCTTTTGTGCATTTCTTTTTTTCTCCCTAATTAGTGTGATTTTATTCTGAAATTTTTTTTCTTCCATCACTTTTCTTCTCCTGTTTAGAAGTCATATTTCAGCCAAAATACCCATGCTTCACTTTTCACATTTTAAAGCTATTTTGCTATCTTCTAAACAATAAAATAAATTCTAAGTTGCATTGTCCACTTCCAGATTCACCTTCAGTAGTTGTTATTTTTATTTCATTTGTTTTTCTCATTCAATATTGCTAATGTCATTATTTTATCCAGTCAGCAGCTGTTTAAATAGACCATTCATTTACTAATGTCTTACTTCATTACTTTGCCTTGAACTCTGACTTCCCAACAAACACCACTTTCCTTTGGCCCCACGTGCAACCTTCAAGTTCTTTCAGGGAGGTTCAGTGGCTAGCACATTGAGCTTTCACATCCTTGGGGGCTGCTGAAAAGCCAGCTGTCCTTCCTCTGAAGGTACATCAACCTGGCTGCCTTTAAGATTTTCTTCTTGTCTTTAGTGTTGGTCAGTTTCTTCATGATTTCTCTAAGGGGAGGCTTGCTATTGCTACTCACTTTGATCAGGACCTGCTAGTCTGCTAAGTCTTTGATAAGTCTTTGATACATACTGTGAAATTCTCCGCTGTGACCGACTCTGTTCCTTCTTTTCTCTACTCCTTATGGAATTCAGTGTCTCTTCCTTCTCACTTTACTGCTTATAACTCATTCAGATGAATGTTGATTTCCCCCCAATTTTTCATTTCCCTTAGTCTCATTTTCACATTGTTCATCTATTGTAGTCCCTTCTATATTATGTATGTTTTCTTCTGTCTAATCTGCTATCAGATCCATCCAAGTTCTTAATTTTAACTGTTTTTATTTTTACTATTTTTACTAGTTTGTTTATATATATATAAACAAAATATGACTAATTTCTATTTTATGTGCAATATTCCAATATCTCAAGTCTTTGCAGGGCTCTCTCTGCTACTCAAAATTTCTGAAGGCTCTGGTTTATAGCACTTTGTTTTCTTGTTTTGTTTTGTGCTCTTTTAAAAATGTGAGCTCATATTTATTGGAGTTTTATCTAGTGGAATTGAAAGTGGGTTCTTTGTCAATCATGTCCTTCTGACAGACACCTACAGATATCAGCATTTCTGGATAAATTTAAGTTCACAGCCTCAAACTTTTTGGAATATTCTGATACTGTAAATTTTAGGCAGCAAACAAAAGAAAATAAAACACTCAAAACAGAAGTTAAGTTCATGTTCACTCGGTTTAGAAAAGGTCCTCGAGATGAGAGCTTTTTTCAGTACTCTCCTTCTGTTTTCACTCAGTGTTTCTTCTCTGAGTATCCGAGCTAATGTACAGCTCAGGAATATACTTTCAAAAACAATTATATTTAGCATCTTCAGCTATTTTCAAAGGAAAAGTTGATCAGGGAATCTAATCTGCCATTCTACTAGATGAACAGTTAGTTTAGTTTTAAGGGAACGTTTTATCACCACCCATACATTAACTACAAATGCAACATTTTCTGAAACTTAAGGATAACTGTTTCATGTATAAGGTACTTTCAACCAGCACTGTATAAATCAATACTTCTCTGACTAGAAATCAGAAACTCCCAATGTGGAAGAAATAAAAAAGTAACCCTAGGATGCAGATAATAGGAACACAATGCAAAATCATAAGAAATTGCTTTAGTAATCAAAATACCTATAATTATTTTCAATAAAATATGTTCATCTGGTTGTTCATGCTAACAACCTTACCATTTCTACATGATGCATATTAACTGCTAGAATTTTGAGTACTTACATTGCATCAGGCATTTTATGCAGATTTTATTTAATCTTTGCAACAACCCAGTATGTAGATATTATTTATATACAGAGTTTTCCTTTATTTTGGATTATGATTATTAGCTTAACTATTGACCCTCCTCATTCTCTGGGCTAGATTGGAAGAGTTATATTAAAGATGGCTGGAAAACACATTTATGTTGGAGGAAGAAAAAGTGCTTGATAATAACAAATCTGAGCTCTAGAGTGTGGTGATGATAGGTATCTCATTTTTATTTGGCATCTCTAAAAATGCTGACTTGAATTACTTGAAATCTATAGGAGGATTTGGTCAATCCATGTAACTGGAACTAGAAGAGATAAGTCTTTTTTAAAATAGAAAATGTTTTGAATGTTTTAAAGCTTGTTTCTCTATTTCATAGATATATTGGTCTCTGTATATTGATACACAGCTATAGACCAATTGTCCTTGAAAATAGAGTCTCTTGCCTGTTGTTTCTTGTTTGATAATGATCCCTTCGAACTCAGTAACTGGGAATAAGAGAGAAGAGATAGTCAATTTAATTAAATTCTGAACAGACAAGAAACCTTCTGGGTGGCAGTGACAGAAGTCGAGTTTTATGAAGCAAAAACACTCTTTCAAAAAAAGCTCAGTAGTCTCAGATGACAAACTAGGATGGGCTGCTGGCTGCTTTCCTCAAAGCAACCTTGGGGAAATGACAGGAAGCATGGGTCTAGATATTAATGGCGATAAGAGCAAGAGTAATAAAAATAACGACAAACTCTGAGAAGCTCCTGGACAGAAAGAAGGCAGTTCTGAACTGGAGAACAAGTTGCATTTGGAAGGAAGAGGCTACAGATGAGAAGAAAACCACAGGAAACTGCTGAAAGAAGGTGAGGGGAAGAAAGTTTCTTTCTGTTCTTGCCTCTCACTTTTGTAGCCATAGGACAATCTAACCTTGGATATTTATCTTATTTACAATTACTCATAATTATATATCAGGTATTTGTGAACCAATTATAATGGTATTTTGCTTTTATAGTATGTTACTAAAATCATTTGGCCAAAAGATAAGAATTACATTTAACCTTTTCTCAAATTGCTCTGCAGACACACCAAATGCATTCACAGTGTGAACAACAGTATGCAGGTGCACCTGTTTCTCTATACCTTGCAGGTTATGCTGCACTTCACTTCATTATTGTGTCTATTGTTACTGCTGATTAGGTATGTGATGGGAACTTGGAGGAAGGCATTTTTAATTGCTAGAAATACTAATATTCACTGACTAATTTCTTCCTCCAACATAAATGTGTTTGTCCAGCCATTTTTAATATAGCCCATTGGCAATTTTCAAATAGAAGGAAAAACCCTGGGGTATGTATTAACTAATTATGAAAGAAATAAAATATTAA